TGTTTCACCATGTTGGCCAGGCTGGTCTCAAGCTTCTGACCTCAGGTGATTCGCCCACCTCAGCCTCCCAAAGTGCTGGGATTACAGGCATGTGCCAGGCCTCTGTTGTCTCTTTTTATAAGGATAATCCTATTGGATCAAGGACCCACCCTTATGACATAAAGGCCCTGCCTCCAATTACAGTCACATTGGGGGTTGGGGTTTTAACATACAAATTTTGGTGGAGGGAGAGGGGACACAAACATTCAGTGTATGATACAGGGTAAGATCTACTGATCTCCTTGTATAGTTCTGCCCCCTCAAAAGTGTGAGCAGAACTAAAAGACTGGTGGGCTGGCCAGTCTTTTAGTCCAGAGGGTCTAGAGGGTAGATGGGATCATTTTTAATCTACAGAGTAGCAGAAAGAATTAGCTTTTGCAGTCTGGGTGAATAAGGAGCAAACACATTTGCTCAATGTGTAATAAGATGTTAGTTGGTACAGAGCAGCCCTCAGGAGAGAGACTGCTTTAGCTCCTTCACTCATGGGACTTTATAAGGTACGCCAGGGCTCCTCTGAGTAAATCAGGGACTCAGGAGAGGAGAATTGAATATGAGGAGAAAATAATCACTTTTCTGACTTGAATTAGTAGTCTCGATCATCAAAATAAGTAGTATCTAACAGGAGATATCTGGGTAAAATCTGGTAAATCACTAGACTAACCAAGAAAAAAGAATCTTAGGCTGGGTGCTGTGGCTCATGCCTGTAATCCCAGCACTTTGGGAGGCTGAGGCGGGTGGATCACGAGGTCAAGATATTGAGACCATCCTGGCCAACATAGTGAAGCCCTGTCTGTACTAAAATACAAAAATTAGCTGGGTGTGGTGGTGTGAGCTTATAGTCCCAGCTACTCAGGAGGCTGAGATTATAGGAGAATTGCTTGAACCCGGGAGGTGGAGGTTGCAGTGAGCCGAGATCACCCCACGGCACTCCAGCTTGGTGCCTGATGACAGAGCAAGACTCTGTCTCAAAAAAAAAAAAAAAAAAAAAAAAAAAAAAACAAATCTTACATTCACCTTGCTTATCTTCAATGCTAGAAGCTAGAAGATGGTAGACCATTAAGAAGAAGAGGTTACACCATCCAAGAATCTCTAATCAGCTAAGATATCATCTCCCAGGGTGAAAAAGATATTCATGGACCATAGTGCAGAAAACTATGTAATAGATGAAAAGATTACATCTATCTTAACTAACGTGTTGATATTGAATGAATGGAATATTTGATTAAAGTGCTAAGTAAAGACTCTACATCTAGAATAGAAGTGTTTGAGAGGGAGGGGTAATTATATGGGAGTGGAGTGAGTAGGGGTGATTAAGTCTTTTTTTTTTTTTAATTTTTTTGAGACAGGGTCTCACTCTGTTGCCCAGGCTGGAGTGCAGTAGTGGGATCTTGGCTCACCACAGCCTCCACCTTTCAGGCTCAAGTGATCATCCCACCTCAGCCTCCCAAGTAGCTCGGACTACAGCTACTGGGACATGCCACCATGCTCAGCTAATTTTTTTTATTTTTAATAGAGACAAGGTTTTGCCATGTTGCCTAGGCTGATCTCAAACTCCTGAGCTTGATCGATTCACCTGCCTTGGCTTCGCAAAGTATTGAGATTACAGGTGTGAGCCATGGTGCCTGACCAGTTATTAAGTCTTCTACATGTGTTGTCTATGTGGTAAGATAGAGAGGGGGAAAAGTATTAGTATTTTAGTTTATTTATTTATTTTTGGTGAGTGGGGGCTAGATGAAGTAGGGAGAACAAGTAGATGAGTTACTTACTTTCTTATAACAGATAAATATGTTTGATCTTGTGTGTCTGGAAAGGGAGGCTAACCACTAGTAAAAAAGGAAAAATAGATACCTCTTTATTTTTTGAGACAGGGTCTCCACTTTGTCACCCAGGCTAGAGTGCAGTGGTGCAAACATGGCTCACTGCAGTCTTGACCTCCCAGGTTCAAGCGATCCTCCCGCCTCGACCCTTTAAGTAGCTGGGGCTACAGGCATACACTACTATGCCTGGCTAATTTTTGTATTTTTTATAGAGACAGGGCTTTGTCGTGTTGCTCAGGCTGGTCCTAAACTCCTGAGCCTAAGCAGTACACCCACCTTGACCTCCCAAAGTGTTAGGATTATAGGCATGAGCCACTGTGCCTGGGTTGATACATCTCTTAGTTAATAATAGAAAACAACAAGTAAAATAAAGAACATAAAATAAGATTGAAGGAGTAAAATTGAGTATATTATTTGCTATACCCAATGTGGACATGTTGCATTTGCTTATTAAGAAACTCAGACTGTCAGTTGCAGTTAAAAGACAAAACTGACGTGTTGTTTACTAAAATCATACTTAAAGCAGTGATAAAGAAAAGGTAAAGATATAAACAAGCAAAGAGAAAGCAAGAGTGGCAGTGTTTTTTGTTTTTTTGTTTTCTTTTGAGACAGGCTCACTCTGTCGCCCAGGCTGGAGTACAGTGGCATGGTCTTGGCTCACTGCAACCTCTGCCTCTCAGGCTCAAGCAATTCTCATGCCAAGCCTCCCAAGTAGCTGGGATTACAGGCACATGCCACCACACCTGGCTAATTTTTTGTGTTTTTAGTAGAGACGAGGTTTCACCATGTTGGCTAAGCTGGTCTTGAACTCTTGACCTCAGATGATCTGCCCGCCTCAGCCTCCCAAAGTGCTGGGATTACAGGCGTGAGCCACCACACCTGGCCCAAAAGTGGCAATGTTAAGGTACATCAAAAAAGGAGGAAAGCAAGGTTAAAACATTAGACAGGATATTATGAAATTATATACTTCATCATTTAAGAAGATATATTAAAAACCTGTAGACTCCAAAAATATTTTGGCTTAATAACCTCTAATAGCATTTTCAAAAAAGACAAACAGGTATTTGTAGTGGGAAATTTCAAGGGCATTTCTTTCAGAATAGGAGAGATCTAGTATACAGAAAGTAAGTGAATACAGAGGAGTTGAATAATATAATCTACAATTCACAAACTTTATTTGATGGATGTACAGAACTTTATATCCTTCAAACAGGAAATATACATGGTTATATGTGGCCCAAAAAATCCTTAAGAAGAGAGAGTTTGTACTTGCATTATGGAATAAGATTGGAAATAAATAATGAAATAAATAACCAAAAGATTCTTAACTAATTAGAGAGCAGAAATCATACTCCTAGGTAAATTTTGAATCAAAGAGAAAATCAGAACTGAAATGATAAACTAGAAAGCAATGAAAAAGAGAAGACATTACAACAAAACTGTAGATCATTATAAAAGTTGTACCCGTTAGAAAATTTATAGCCTAAAATATCTTCATTATTAATGAACCGTAACTAAAGGAATTTAGTACTCATGTTGAGAAATTAGGAAAATAACAGCAAAAGAAAGGAAGAGGAAATTCATAAAATCTGAAATTAATTTAAAATTTATAAATATAAAAATAGGATAAATAGATTTTATTATTTTGGACTTTCTGAAAAATGATTAATGAACCTGATGAAGAAAATATGGCAGAAATACACAAGGTAAGGAATGAGAAGGCCGGGTGTGGTAGTTCATATCTACCACATAATCCCAGCACCTTGGGAGGCCAAGGCAGGTGGATCACTTGAGGTCAAGAGTTCTAGACCAGCCTAGTCAACCTGGTGAAACCCCATATCTACTAAAAACACAAAAATTAGCCAGGCGTGGTGGTGGGCACCTAGCTACTCAGGAGGCTGAGGCAAGAGAATCGCTTGACCCTGGGAAGTGGAGGTGGCAGTAAGCTGAGATCATACCACTGCACTCCAGCCTGAGCAACAGAGCAAGACTCCGTCTACAAAAAAAAAGGAATGAGTAATGAAATATAGCCATTCTGTGAAAGAATAAAAGAAATCAGAAGATAATATCATGTACAACTTTAATAACAAAATGTTTTCAACATTTTATTTTTTTAATGTAATATTTTTGAGACAGGGTCTCACTCTGTCACCAAAGTTGGAGTGCAGTGGCATGATCTCGGTTCACTGCAACCTCCACCTACCAGGCTCAAGCAATCCTCTCCCCTCACCCTCTTGAATAGTTGGGACTACAAACATGCACCACCACACCCAGCTATTATTTTTTTATTTTTTTTGTAGAGACAGGGGTCTCACTATGTTGGCCAGGCTGGTCTTCAACTGGGCTCAAGTGCTCCTCCTACCTTTGCCTCTCAAAGTGCTCGGGGGCCCATACCTTCCTTTTCTAACTTTATTTGGCCATGTTTTTACTGAAGTTCTTTGAGTAATATGGTCGGAAATGGTGTACTGTTTGTGTCTCTGTTGTCGAGAAATGTAGAATTTTTTCCCTTTTAAACTTGATTGATAGCTTGTCTGGGACCAGAATTTTAAGGTCATGGTTCTCCCTCAGAATTCTGAAAAATTGCTCCTTTGACTTCTAGCAGTTAATGTAGCAGATGAGAGGCCCAACGCCTATTGGAATGTCTTTCACTGGTTCATAACCTGATATTTCTGTCTGGACACTTAGAGCAGTTTTATTTTGGCAATTCAGAAATTTAACTAGATTAAATGTCTAGATGGCTAACATTTTTATTATTCCTGTTCTGACATTACAGATGTTTTAGATATGGAAACTTAGGGATTTCTTAGGGAAACTTTCCTAACTGTTTTATTGCTTTTTCTCAATTCATTTTGAGATATTATTTTTTAAGATACTGATTTATTACCCAGGTGGGTTTGTAATATACTTATACCAATTATATTATAATGTATGTATAACAATTGCTGCATTGCCATGTTGGAAGAGTCAAAGTAACTAATAAAGGATATCTGTAATGATATAAGTCTTGAGAAAAGCATTGACAGACAAAAATAAATAAATATACACATACGTGCATAAATTCAATAAGGCATTCATTTGAGTGATGTTAGAAATGTGCATGAGAATTTTCATGACTTTATTTTGGAACTTGTTATCCCTTTTCAGGATCGAAAGTTAACCAAAGCTGAGCAGCAAAGATTCAAGGAAGAAGCAGAGATGTTGAAGGGTCTCCAGCACCCCAATATAGTTCGATTTTATGATTCCTGGGAATCTATATTAAAAGGAAAGAAATGTATCGTATTAGTGACTGAACTAATGACATCTGGAACCTTAAAGACGTAAGTTGACCTGATAGTGCCAATGGAGTTTTATTTGGAAATAATTTCCAAGAGTCATAACAATTTTTATAAAATAAAACTACTCAAAGAATTTGTAGAATCTGGCTAGTACAGTGGCTTGTAATCCCAGCACTTTGGGAGTCTGAGGAGGGTGGATCTCTGAAGCCAAGTAGTTCAAGATTAGCCTGGGCAACATGGTGAAACTTTGTCTCTACCAAAAAAATACAAAAATTAGCCAGATGTGGTGGCACACACCTGTAGTCCCAGCTACTCAGGAGGCTGAGGTTGGAGGATGACTTGAGCCTGGGAGGTGGAGGTTGCAGTGAGCCATGATCGTGCCACTGTATTCCAGCCTGGTTTACAAAGCCAGATCCTGTCTCAAAAAAAAAAAAAAAAAAAAAAAAGAATTTGTAGATTCTGAATCCAGTGACTGTTTTAAGTTAGGGTAAAAAAATTCAGATGTTAATGAAGTTTGTTAAAAAAACATAGTGCTGAAAAATCAATATTTGTGGGATATTATAGAATTTTAGAATTAGAAATCATTATAGAGAATATAATTTTATTTTATTTCATTATTTTTTGGGACAGGATCTCACTCTGTTACCCTGACTGGAGTGGTCCAGTGGTGTGATCATGGCTAACTGCAGCTTCGACCTTGCTGGGCTCAAGTGGCCCTCCCACCTCAGCCTCCTGAGTAGCTGGGACCACAAGCACGCACCAACATGCTGGCTAAGTTTTTAAAATATTTTTTGAGAGATGGGGTTTCACCATGTTGCCCAGGCTGGTCTCAAACTCCTGGGCTAAAGCAATCTGCCCACCTCAGCCTCCCAAAGTGCTAGGGTTATAGGAATAAGGAACGATGCCCAGCCATAATTTTATTTCATAGAAGATAATATGGAGGGCTTGGTCAAGTTCAAATATCTAATGAGCAATACTATTATGGTATTCTAATATAGTATTATAGTATATTCATACAATATTATAATATATAGTATAACATATAGTATTATATAGTCTGATACTATATTATTATAGGCTATCAAATAATAGTCTTATTTCTAATCACAATTATTCATTTGGTGAATAATGATTTGTAAATATTAAATGTGGTTTAATCACTTGCAAATATTCAATATCTCATAAACTTTTTGTTTCCTAGCATTTCTGTGTATACTAAAATTTTACATAGTTTAACCTTCTCGTGACTTTATATAAGCAGTTACTAGGTAGTAGAGAAGGACTTTTTAAAAAAATTGTGCTGTCATTCTACAAAATGCCACTCTGGAATGATTCTTACTTTGAATTAAAAATGCTACACTTAGCTAGGGGAGGTGGCTGATGCTTGTAATTCTAGCACTTTGGGAGGCTGAGGCAGGCGAATCACCTGAGTTCAGGAGTTCAAGACCAGCCTGGCCTACATGATAAAACCCTGTCTATACTAAAATACCAAAATTAACTGGGCATGGTGGTATGCCCCCATAGTCTCAGTTACTTGGGAGGCTAAGGCACAAGAATCACATGAACCTGGGAGGCAGAGGCTGCAGTGAGCCGAGATTGCACCACTGCACTCCAGCCTGGGAGACAGAGTGAGACTTTGTCTCAAAAAAAAAAAAAAATGCTACAGCTTGGTAGGATGTCTTATCTAAGAATGAGGTCTTAGATTTAAAAATTTTTTTTGCTGTAACAGACAATAGAAAACAACTCAGTGATGGGAATCATAGTACGTAAGTTGTTTGCTTATGTAATTTACCTTAGTAGTATTCATATAATAAGCTGGACATATTTGTTTACACATGGTCTTTTGTTTCTTTGTATAGGTACTTAAAACGATTTAAAGTCATGAAACCAAAGGTCTTAAGGAGCTGGTGCAGGCAAATTTTAAAGGGGTTGCAGTTCTTGCACACTAGGACTCCTCCTATTATTCACCGGGATCTGAAGTGTGACAATATTTTCATCACGGGACCCACTGGATCTGTGAAGATTGGTGATCTAGGATTAGCCACCTTAATGCGCACATCATTTGCTAAGAGTGTCATTGGTGATTAATGTTTTATACTTTATTGGTTGGGTAAAGAGAGATTTTTCAATTGTATAGGTCTAGAACAGGGATCAGCCAGCTATGGCTAATAGGATGAATGTGGTTCACTGCCTGTTTTTGTAAATCAAATTTTATTAGAATTTTATTAGGACTGCTTTTGCACCTACAAGTGACAGAGTTGGGTAGTTGTGTGACAGAGACCATACAGACTGCAAAGCCTAAACAATTTACTATCTGGCCTTTAACAGAAAAGTTTGCTAACACTGGGCTTAGACTGAATTTGCTTTGAAATACCTATTATGTATTGGCTTATTTCAGAGACATCCTGATGTATTTTTTGTGGAATTATATTTATATTTATGATTATTGAAAGGTTCTGAAGACAAAAGGAAGACAGTTTACTAAGTTAGTTCAGAAAAAAGTAAAAAGGATGGAAATAAAAACATATTATTTATCATTACCTAATCTTGAGTATTACAAATTGTATATATTATCAGTGTGGAAAATTTAAAAAATTACTTCAGTGCTTTAAGTAAATATAGCAAATATTCAACAAATTGTATTCTTTTATTTATTTATTTATTTTTTTGGAGACAGAGTCTTGCTCTGTCACCAGGTACCGGGCTGGAGTGCAGCGGCATGATCTTGGCTCACGGCAACCTCCGCCTCTGGGGTTCAAGCAATTCTCCTGCCTCAGCTTCCTGAATAACTGGGACTACAGTTGCGCACCACCACACCCAGCTAATTTTTGTATTTTAGTAGGGTTTCACCATGTTGGCCAGGATGGTCTCGATCTCTTGACCTCATGATCTGCCCGCCTCGACCTCCCAAAGTGCTGGGATTATAGGCGTGAGCCACCGCACCTGGCCAACAAATTGTATTCTTAAAAATTTGCAGCCGAGTGCGGTGGCTCACGCCTGTAATCCCAGCACTTTGGGAAGCTGAGGTGGACAGATCACGAGGTCAGGAGTTTGAGACCAGCCTGGCCAACATGTTGAAACCTCGTCTCTACTAAAAATACAAAAATTAGCCAGGCATGCTGGCAAGCGCTTGTAATCCCAGCATCTGGGGAGGCTGAGGCAGGAGAATCGCTTCAACCTGGGAGGTAGAGGTTGCAGTGAGCCAAGATCCTGCCACTGTACTCCAGCCTGGGCAACAGACCAAGTCTCAAAAAAAAAAAAAAATTTGCTTTAGGGGAATAGAAATTAACACGGATAATCCTTATGGGAAAGGGGATATGATCTTGTTGGATACATTTTTCTCTTTCATAAAAACGTGGTTGTGGTGTTATTTATAGGAACTCCTGAATTTATGGCCCCAGAGATGTATGAAGAACACTATGATGAATCCGTAGATGTTTATGCTTTTGGAATGTGTATGCTGGAAATGGCCACGTCAGAGTATCCTTATTCTGAGTGTCAGAATGCAGCTCAAATATACCGTAAAGTAACTAGTGTAGGTATAACTTTTTTCCTTTTACTTTATCAGTTACCACATTTCAAGTTGAAATTAGTTAAGTTTGACTTAGTGAAAACTAATTTTGGTTTAGCTTTGGGTAACAGTATTAAATTTAACACTTGTAATGCAGCAAGCCTAAGATTTATACTGTATGACTATACTTCATTAGAGTCATGTAAAGTGCTTTGTATTAATGTCTTTGGGAAAATGTGTAGCTATATCATCTATATATATTTATTTGTAAGGAATTTTTAGTTTTCTATTAGATGGATCTTATTTTTCAAAGCTGAGTAACAGAGACTGACTACATGGTTTCTTCTAGGTCTAAAAGCCTTTTTATGAAAGAGCATTCAAAATATAATTCAATAGATACAGTATTTGAGTCCCTGCCATGAGTAAATTTTTGTGTTAGAAATTGTAAGAAATGCAAAGATGAGCAAGAAGTGTTTGCTACCCTCAAAGAGCTTACATTTCTAATATGGTATAAATTCACAAATGACTATAAAATAAGAGGATGAGACTATAGTAAGGGGCATAAGGAAGGTAGAGGCAAAGTATTATGCTTGTTCAAAGGAGGAGTACTTCATAAACAGTTGGGCGGCTCAAGACAGGCCGTGAAAGATTGTTTCAGGTAGCTTAACAGTAGTAGGTACTGGTTTTTAAAATCCTTTTCAAATTAATCTTACTTTTAATTGACTAATTGTTATTGTACACATTTAAGGGGTACCATGTGATGTTTTGAAATACACACACAAATATACACAATGTGGAATGGTTAAATCAGGCTAATTAACATATCTATCACCTCACTTATTAGTTTGTGTGGCAAGACATTTGAAATTTACTAAGTTACTTTGAAATTTACAATATATATATTATATATATATATATATTTTTATTGCATTTTAGGTTCTGGGGTACATGTAAAGAACATGCAGGATTGTTGCATGGGTACATACATGGCAATGTGGTTTACTGCCTCCATCCCCATCACCTATATCTGGCATTTCTCCCCATGTTATCCCTCCCCAACTCTCTAATCCCCACTGTCCCTCCCCTAGTTCCCCGCAACAGACCTCAGTGTGTGATGCTCCCATCCGTTTCCATGTGTTCTCATTGTTCAACACCCGCCTATGAGTGAGAACACTTAGTGCTTGATTCTCTGTTCCTGTGTCAGTTTGCTGAGAATGATGGTTTCCAGGTTCATCCATGTCCCTACAAAGGACACGAACATATAGTTTTTTATGACTGCATAGTATTCCATGGTGTATATGTGCCACATTTTCCCTGTCCACTCTGTCATCAGTGGGCATTTGGGTTGGTTCTATGTCTTTGCTATTGTAAACAGTGCTTCAGTAAACATACATGTGCATGTGTCCTTATAATAGAATGATTTATAATCCTTTGGATATATACCCAGTAATGGAATTGCTGGGTCAAATGGAATTTCTATTTCTAGGTCCTTGAGGAATTGCCACACTGTCTTCCACAATGGTTGAACTAATTTATGCTCCCACCGACAGTATAAAAGTGTTCCTGTTTCTCCACATCCTCTCCAGCATCTGTTGTCTCTGGATTTTTTAGTGATTGCCATTCTAACTGGCATGAGATGGTTTCTCAATGAAGTTTTGATTTGCATTTTTCTAATGACCAGTGATGATGAGCATTTTTCCTATGTTTGTTGGCCTCAGATAGGTCTTCTTTTCAAAAGGGTCTGTTCGTATCCTTTACCCACTTTTGAATGGGTTTGTTTGTTCTTTTCTAGTAAATCTGCTTTAGTTCTTTGTAGATTTTGGGTATAAGTCCTTTGTCAGATGGGTAGATTGTAAAAATTTTTTCCCATTCTGTTGGTTACCAGTTCACTCTAATGATTGTTTCTTTTGCTGTGCGTAAGCTCTAGAGTTTAATTAGATCCCATTTGTCTACTTTGGCTTTCGTTGCCAGTGCTTTTGGTGTTTTAGTCATGAAGTCCTTGCCTATGCCTATGTCCTGAATGGTTTTGCCTAGGTTTTCTTCTTTTTTTTTGCCAATCAGTTTGAGCTTATGAGGTTGCTCAGGTTAGCCTTGAACTGATGACCTTGCCTTCGCGAGCGCCATGACCTCCGGCGGGAGCCACTTTGGACCCCTGCCTAGGTTTTCTTCTAAGGCTTTTATGGTGTTAGGTCTTATGTTTAAGTCTTTAATCCATCTGGAGTTAATTTTAGTGTAAGCTGTCAGGAAGGGGTCCAGTTTCTGCTTTCTGCACATGGCTAGCCAGTTTTGCCAACACCATTTATTAAACAGGGAATACTGTCCCCATTGCTTGTTTTTGTGAGGTTTGTCAAAGATCAGATGGTTGTGGATGTGTGGCGTTGCCTCCAAGGCCTCTGTTCTGTTCCATTGGTCTATATCTCTGTTTTGGTACCAGTACCATGCTGTTTTGATTACTGTAGCCTTGTAGTATAGTTTGAAATCAGGTAGTGTGATGCCTCCAGCTTTGTTCTTTTTTCTTAGAATTGACTTGGCTATGTGGGCTCTCTTTTGGTTCCATATGAAGTTTAAGGTGGCTTTTTCCAGTTCTGTGAAGAAGGTCATTGGTAGCTTGATGGGGATAGCATTGAATCTGTAAATTACTTTCGGCAGTATGGCCATTTTCACGATATTGATTCTTCCTAACCATGAGCATGGAACGTTCCTCCATCTGTTTTTGTCCTCTCTTATTTCGTTGAGCAGTGGTTTGTAGTTCTCCTTGAAGATGTCCTTTATATCCTTTGTTAGTTGTATTTCTAGGTATTTTAATCTCTTTGTAGCAATTGTGAGTGGCAGTTCATTCTTGATTTGGCTCTCTTTAGGTTTGTTCTTGGTGTATAGGAATGCTTGTGATTTTTTCACATTGATTTTGTATCCTGAGACTTTGCTGAAGTTGCTCATCAGTTTAAGGAGATTTTGTGCTGAGATGATGGAGTATTTCAAATATACAATCATGTCATCTGCAAATAGAGACAATTTGACTTCCTCCTTTCCTAATTGAATACCTTTTATTTCTTTTTCTTGACTGATTGCTCTGGCTAGAACTTCCAGTACTATATTGAATAGGAGTGGTGAAAGAGGGCATCCTTGTCTAGTGCCAGATTTCAAAGGGAATGCTTCCAGTTTTTGCCCATTCAGTATGATATTGGCTGTGGGTTTGTCATAAATAGCTTTTATTATTTTGAGATACATTCCATCCATACCTAGTTTATTGAGAGTTTTTAGCATAGAGGGCTGTTGAGTTTTGTCAAAGGCCTTCTCTGCATCAATTGAGATAATCATGTGGTTTTTGTTTTTGGTTCTGTTTATGTGGTGGATTACATTTATAGACTTGCTTATGTTGAACCAGCCTTGCATCCCCAGGATGAAGCCTACTTGATCAGGGTGGATAAGCTTTTTGATGTGCTGTTGCAATCGATTTGTCAGTATTTTATTGAAGATTTTTGCATCTATGTTCATCATGGATATTGGCCTGAAGTTTCCTTTTTTGTTGAGTCTCTGCCAAGTTTTGGTATCAGGATGATGTTGGTCTCATAAAATGATTTGGGAAGGATTCCCTCTTTTTGGATTGTTTGGAATAGTTTCAGAAGGAATGGTACCAGCTCCTCTTTGTACATCTGGTAGAATTCAGCTGTGAACCTGTCTGGACCTGGACTTTTTTTGGTTGGTAGGCTATTAATTGTAGCCTCAACTTCAGCCCTTGTTATTGGTCTGTTCAAAATTTCAACTTCTTCCTGGTTTAGGCTTGGGAGGGTGCAAGTGTCCAGGAATTTTTCCATTTCTTCCAGGTTTATCCGTTTATGTACATAGAGTTTGTAGTAGTCTCTGATTGTAATTTGTATTTCTGTGGAGTCAGTGGTGATATCCCCTTTATCGTTTTTTATGCATCTATTTGATTCTTCTCCCTTTTCTTTTTTATTAATCTGGCTAGTGGTCTGTCTATTTTGTTGATCTTTTCAAAAAACCAGCTCCTGGATTTATTGATTTTTTTTGAAGGGTTTTTTGTGTCTCTATCTCCTTTAGTTCTGCTCTGATCTTAGTTATTTCTTGTCTTCTAGCTTTTGAGTTTTTTTGATCTTGCTCCTCTAGCTCTTTCAATTTTGACAATAGGGTGTCAATTTTAGAGCTTTCCTCGCTTCTCTGGTGGGCATTTATTGCTATAAATTTCCCTCTAGACACTGCTTTAAATATATCCCAGAGATTCTGGTACCTTGTATCTTCATTCTTGTTGGTTTCGAATAACTTCTTTATTTCTCAGTTCATTTCATTGTTTATCCAGTTGACATGCAGGCGCCAGTTGTTCAGTTTCCATGAAGTTGTGTGGTATTGAGTTAGTTTCCTAATTCTGAGTTCTAATTTGATTGCACTGTGGTCTGAGAGACTGTGTGTTATGATTTCCATTCTTTTGCATTTGCTGAGGAGTGATTTACTTCCAATTATGTGGTCAGTTTTAGAGTAGGTGCCATGCGGTGCTGAGAAGAATGTATATTCTGTGGATTTGGGGTGGAGAGGTCTGTAAATGTCTATTAGGTCTGCTTGGTCCAGATTTGAGTTGAAGTCCTGGATATCTTTGTTAATTTTCTGTCTTGTTGATCTGTTTAATATTGACAGTGGAGTGTTAAAGTCTCCCACTATTATTTTTTATTTATTTATTTTTTTTTGAGATGGAGTTTCGCTCTTATTACCCAGGCTGGAGTGCAATGGCGCAATCTCGGCTCACCACAACCTCCACCTCCTGGGTTCAGGCAATTCTCCTGCCTCAGCCTCCTGAGTAGCTGGATTACAGGCACATGCCACCATGCCCAGCTAATTTTTTGTATTTTTTGTAGAGACGGGGTTTCACCATGTTGACCAGGATGGTCTCGATCTGTTGACCTCGTGATCCACCCGCCTTGGCCTCCCAAAGTGCTGGGATTGCAGGCTTGAGCCACCGCGCCTGGCCAGTCTCCCACTATTATTGTGTGGGAGTCTAAGTCTCTTTTTAGGTC